TGTTGAAAACTGAATCTTTGTGACATCATGACAACTCTGGAAATAAGATGTTTTTCTATCCCAGGGTTTGTTGTAGTTATTATTTATTCAGTGACTTTTGGGACACAATTTTTAAAACCTGTGTCCTTTTTCATGCACACCCAGTACAGACTTCGCTCCATTAGCTTAGAGACAGCCAGTGATGATGCCGAGATGTCCTTAAATGTGTGGCTCCACAGGCAAATAGAGCAACACCTCCACGCTTTGCAGCTGGGCTCTGGGTGCTCTGCTCGGATGCCACCAGTGCTCATCCAGGCAGCTTGCAACTCCTCTTTGGCCTCTTCTTGCCGAGCCTGCATCAACCAAAGGAGCAATGTTGGGCCTTCTCAGGTCCCTTAGAGCAGAGCTCCAGCCCTGGGCGTGCAATGTCCTCCCAGCTTCGCAGGAATGTGCCTGAGCTTTTCAAACTCTCCAGAGCCCATTGGTATGTAGGCTGGTACAAGGAGAGCTCAGGATACAGCAGTAAGAACTTTACCAAGATCTGCCTAAAGACAAGAGTTTATTCAGATTAGGATCCTAAGTGCTGGGGGACAGTGAGTGAGTTATAAGAGTTGGATTATAACACCAGGTGAAGGGCGAGGTCTTCATACGAGTACATTACTTTGCCTTCCTTGGGACAACATGGCCAACGCCTACAACTTAAAAGCGACAGGTTTGTATTCACTCATGTTTGGGCAGGGTTGGCCCACAGTTCCTGGGCTTCCAGGTACAAACGGTGAGGTACAGGAGCACTGCTCCCTGCATGGCAGCCAGACGCACGGCACAGGAGAGGAGCCAAGGACGAGACTCGTGTCGCTCCAGGCCCCCCAGTAGCCATCTCCAAAAAAGCTGCTCCTCAGAATGTGCGAGTCCAGGGGAACATTTGAGATCCAAGCCGTTCCACATGATGGAAGGACATGAGGCAGTGCCTGGTCCCAGTGTGAGCCTCCCGGGGTGCTTCCTCTGCGAGGCCTGGCTCCACCACGAGTTGGGAGCATCAGGGCAGCTGCCCTTGGCCTGTCTTGTGTTGGAGGTCAAGAACGGCACACGTGGGGGCAGGTGCATGAGTCAGGAGTAGTTGCTGGAAATACTGGTCTTGTTCTTCTGTTTTAATTTTTTATTCATTTTAATGAGAAGAAAATATCAATCAGTTTCAAAACATTAGTAGGACAATTACAATAACTAATACATTGCATATTGTTGTCTTCATAGTAGTTATTCGGAGGACAAGATGCAGACATATCCTGTCTAAACACTAGTAGTACAAATTTTTCTTCTCATTGAACTGAGAAAGTAGCTGTATATCTATCCTATTATCTATCTATCTATCTATCTATCTATCTATCTATCATCTATCTTTCTTCTTTTCCCACTCCATGGTCCTTCAGAGCTCCAAGCTCCGTCCCGCGCCTTCCATATGCTTCCATCGTTTGCTTCGGTAGCTCGTCAGGTCCCCAGCAGCCAGCATGGTGCAGCAGATCGAAAGCAAAGAGGCCTTTCAGGAAGCCCTGGCTGCTGCAGAAGACAAACCTGTAGTAGCTGATTTCTCAGCCACGTGGTGTGGGCTT